AAAGAAAGAAAGACAAAGAAAAGAAAAGGAAAGAAAAGCAAAGCAAAAGGGGGTTCTGGGAGTATGGCTCAAAGGCAAGGTACCTAACAAGGTACCTAACAAGTCCAAGGCCTGGGTTGAGTCCCCAGCACTTGGGAACAAAGCAAGCCTTGACTTGTACTGCTCCTTGATCTCTCCTTTGCAACTTCCAATACTGGCTATCAGGTGGATCACATCGTCTCTCCACTAGGAGCCCCAACCCAGACGCACAGCTCACAGGTGACTGCCATGTACCAGACCCTCCCAGACCAGGCAGAATGGTGAGCTGCCTGCAGGCCACCCTGCCAAATTCACTGGGCTGGGACTGCAGATCTCCACATGGCTTCTGGCGGTAGATCCTGTACTCCCTAGCCATCTGCAGGCATGGCCCCTTGAAATTGACAGTGAAGTTACAAAGTCTGAGAAGCAGTGGCTTATACCTGTACTCCTAACTACTCAAAAGGCTGAGATCTGAAGAGCAAGGTTCGAGGCCAGCCGAGTAAGAAAGTCTGTGAGAACCTTATTTTCAATTAACCACCAAAAAGCTGAAAGTAGAGCTGTGACTCAAGTGGTGAGTGCTAGCCATAAATACAAAAAAACTCAGGAAGAGTGCCCAGACCCCAAGTAAATCTCAGAAGTCTTTGATGTAGCAAAGAACTTTATTCCACAACTTAAACTGTTGCATAAAGAAAGCTCTAGGGGCCGGGTGCTGGTGCTCACACCTGTAATCCTAGCTATGCAGGAGGCTGAGATCTGAAGATCATCGTTCAAAGCCAGCCCAGACAGGAAACTCCATGAGACTCCTATCTCCAATTAACCACTCAGAAAACCGGAAGTGGTGTTGTGGCTCAAGTGGTAGAGCGCTCACCTTGAGCTGAAGAGCTGAGGGACAGTGCCCAGGTCCACAGTTCAAGCCCCATAACTGGCCAAAAAAAAGAAAGCTCCAGGGGCAATGGCACCAGTAGCACATTCTCCCACCTTTAATGAAATGGCTCGAACAGCCTCACACTCTTGGGAGAAAAGAGGAACGATGCCCAATCACGTTCCAGGCCAGTTTAACATTGGCCCACATGGGCCAAGGCGCTCCCCAAATGAACTGACCATCTCATCCACATACATAAAAAAGGATAATATACAATGATGAAGGTTGGTTTAACATTCAAAAATTCAACTCTTGCAATTCTCCAACTAAAAGAATGAAAAGAAAGATGTTTTAGAACAACTGTAAGCAGTGGCGCAGCACTCTCCACGCTAGGTTTTTAGTATGCAGGTTCAGATAATCAATGTATTCAGAGAGAAAAGACCGCTAACTTTAATTATTCCCCCTTAATTGCTGGATTATATTTTTAACAAGTGTCATGTTGTTGTGTGTACTTTTCGAATGTGGAGAAAGAAATATGTATCTTTAAATACAAGGAATGAACGCTTCCAGAAAATGCTGGAATCACTGGAATGTGACAGTTTAAGAGAAAAACTTAGAAGGTGCAATAGCAAACATCGTATTTCCAAATAAGGGAATCTGACATTTTTCAATCTAGATGAAAGAAGAAACACGCTTAGCAGATGCATCAGAAGCGCAGGTGACACTGAGGAAATAGTTCCAAAGGGGATGTGAGTGGCGCAGAGGGATACAGTCTGAACGGCCTGAAGTACAACGCAATGGTTTATGCGGATTCCAGGCCTGGGTAACAGTAAAAGAAGAACAGGCAAGGGGAAAGAAAAAGACACTTGCCCCTTGAGCCTCAGGACATAGGACTACACTGGCCACGCAGCCACGGGTTTCCTAAGCAGATAACATCATGACTGTCAAAGCAGGTGTCCTCAGCATTCATGTTCAAGACGCTGTCCTCAGTAATGCAGAACGGCCCACACTGGGCGAGGAGGAAGGTACATGAAGTCCTGGAGGCAGCCCTTCCCATGACAAATACCCTCTGGAGAAGAGATGAAGATGCAAACATACAACATAAAGGCACGGCCACACAGCTGCCACGGACAGAGGGCCCAGAAACCAGCCCTGCCCACACCCCGAACTTCTACCCACCAGAACAGGAGACACACATTTCCCCTAAGGCACCAATGGTGGCATTCATTTTGGCAGCCCAGGCACAGGAATACAATAATAAAGCTGCAAAAATTAAAGCTGACTTTGCTTCACAATAGATACCTCCCCTCAATGGGAAAAAGCAAGTGTTAGTTACTGGTCTTGGGAGGAGGGGGGGGACACAAAGAAAAACTTACGAATAACTAAGGTT